CAAAAAAAATCAATTTTCAAAAACTGCCAGCGACTAGCGCAAAATCGATGGACGAGATGTTAAATACTGCAGGTCTATCACTTTCGGATAATAATAGCATGGTAATCAAACGGGACAAAAAGCCGAAGGACTCAGAGAGAAGAAAAAGTATTATACAGGCGGTGTCAGATTTCTTCTTCAAAAAGGAAACAAATCCATCGCCCAATCAGAAGGACAAGTTATCAGTATTCCGACTGACTTCAAGAGGGTCAAAAGGAAAAGTAAGTATTATCACTATTATTATTATCATTAATATTATTATTAACATGTGAAGTGTTCTGAGAAAGAAAATTATAATATATTGTTTCTGTATGTATATAAAATGCAGATTGATAAAACTATTCCATCGAAATGCGACATGAGACCTAAAAGTGTATGCGAAGATATGCTCGTAGGAAATTTCTTCACTGAAAAGCCACCACCTGTGCCGCCACCACCGCTTAATTATTCTACGTATACCACTCAAGTGTCAGCAGGTATGACTTATACAAGTATTCTTATCATTTTACGAGAATATGTTGTAAAATTATTTAAATTACAGAGTATACACCTGTGTGTTACATGCACTTTTGTACTTTTTGTGATAATAAATACATAAATTATTTGATTTCATCATCATAAAATAACAATTTTGTTTTGTGAGTTATATTTTGTACGCTATTTTTTAAAATAATTCTTATATTACAAAACGAAAGTAATGTATTTGGACTAATCCCTCTTATATTTGTATTTTTCTTGTTAATTATCTTGTTAGGACCGGTTGTTCCATTTTTTGGTAAATTTTACCTGTTGGGTAAGTAGCAAGATTACCCAATCACATGCGTGGATTTACCTCACAGATAAAATTTACCAAAAGGTGGAACAATCGGCTCTTAACGATATAAAGATACAAAATAATATTGTATTATGATATAATTTTATATATTGATATAATTTTATATATTGATATAATTTTATATTTTTATGTTTTAGATGACAGTTTATCAGATGACGATACTAAAACGACTGCTTTATCAGTGTCATGCATGCAAAAAGTTACGGCAACTGAAGAATCGTGCAATAGCGTTTCTCGTAAATTGAAGACTGCTAAAAAAATAACTAGACAAGCACAATTAAAGAGGTAAGGCATAATATATTTACATTTAAATATAGAGAACAACATACTAAGACAAATTTGAGCATACTTATATATGCTTGTAATACAGTTTTAATTTGAAAATTTTACTAAATTAAATGCATTTTAAAGATTACGAATGGCCCAAGAAATACAAAGGAAATTGGAAGAAACCGAAGTAAAGCAAAAGGAATTAGAAAGCCGAGGCGTAAGTGTCGAAAAAGCGCTGCGTGGTGAAGGAGGTAAATAATATTATTTACATGTGTATAAATCCTTTCAAGTTTTTATTTAATCTTCGTTATTATACTTTAAAATTAGAATATAATATTCTACTTATATATCTAATTTATTGTAATTTCTAATTCATTCTATTTGATTTGTATATTGACTTTTAATTGCTTTTAATTTAAAAAAACAAAATAAAAAATAATTGATACATATTAATTGATACATATTGTTAAAATAAATATTTTATATATGTGTAAGAAAAAAAATATAAATCTAATAATATTAAATAATTTAATTTAGATTCTTCCAATCGTGAAGAAGCTGATTTGCTTAGGGAATGGTTTGATTTAATGAAAGAACGCACGGAACTGCGTAGATATGAAAAGGAACTTCTAGTGCGTGCGCAAGAAGTTCAATTGGAAGATCGTCATGAACGATTGCAACAAGAATTGCGTGAACGTTTAGCTGACGATGGTAAATATTTTCTAATTTTCTAATTACTAATTTATTATTTTATGATAATTATTAGAATTTATCGAACATTAAATATTCTATTAAAAAACACACAAAATGTAAGAATGACATATTTAAATGATAAACCTACTAACATATTATTATCAGCGAGAAATTTTTAGATTACAATGTGTATAGAAGCATACAACGGTTTTATGAATTGTAATATAATTTTACAGATGATAAAAAGACCAGTGATGATGTTAAAAAGGAAGGAGAAATCTTGACGGAAATGTTAGAGATAGTAGCAAAAAGGGATTCCTTAATCGCTCTGTTAGAAGAAGAACGACAAAGGTGGTGTAAATCATCGTGTTTGACACACATATTACTTCTATAAATGCATGTTATGTCCATATTTTTATTTTCTCTTATAAATTTGAGTATTTATCCTACATTTTTAAATTATCAACTATTTTATTTGTTTATATTTTTTTCAATTCATATAGTGGAAAGATTTATTAATTATTGTCAGAAATCGTTAATAGCTCTTTATACAGATTTTTTTTTTAATATTATAGTAATCGTGTGTGTACTTTTTTGAGTTTCTTGAGAAAATAAAGATGCAAAAAGTTATATGTTATGACTTATTCGTAGTATTTTATATAAAAAGAAGAAATAAGCTAATAATGTGTTTAAAATTACTTTTTTATTCTAAATGTTTCTCTTTGATAGAAGCTAGATCAAGTGTAAATATTTTTGAAGAAAAATGATTGAACTAAATAAATTTTTGTGAATACATACACCGTTTTAACAAGTTATATACTATTTTTCTAAAATTAATACAAATATATTTATTTCTCTTTTAGATATCAAAATGAAGATCGTGACCTCGAAGCTCAAATGTTGGCTAAAGGCCTGAGATTAACACCAATTAAGAAATGTGGTCCTAAATATTCAGTCTAAGATACGCTTCTGTACATATATTCTCCGCTACAATTTTTTATTGTATGATAACACCAGAAGAAAATTTTATATGTGTGTGTGTGTGTGTGTGTGTGTGTGTGTGTGTGTGTGTGTACACACATACACACACGCACGCATGTACGCACGCACGCACGCATACACATATATATATACGTGTGTAATATATATATATATATTACACACGTATATATATATGTGTATGCGTGTGTGCGTGCGTACATGCGTGCGTGTGTGTATGTGTGCGTACATGCGTGTGTGTGTGTGTGTGTGTGTGTGTGTGTGTGTGTGTGTGTGTGTGTGTGGGGGTGGGGGGGTGGCTCAACACACATTTTATTGTAAATAGTAGGTGAGATAAAGGAATTTGAAGAAGATAGAAGACTCGTATATGCCTAGAATATATATATTTCTGCCCATTTTCAATATATTCAATATTTAATAAACATATCTTTTTTACAAATATAATTAAATTTTTTTTTACATAAATTTTATTTTTTACATAAACGTAAAATCTATTCCATCGTATGTAGAGTACGTTCCGTAAGGCCAAATGATATTTACAAGCGCAAAACTCGGAACGCACCTTTAATTGTATAATGATATGCGCACGCGCACGTGATCACTAAGTCATGATATCCAGATCCTTGAATGTCCTTGGATTCTGGAATTATACTGGAATTTTATGTATTCCGGAAAATCCCTAGAAAATCTCTGAAGTTTCAGAGCTTGCCTAGAATTTATCATTCTTTCATTCTAAAAAAATTAGCAGAAAAGTTGTGTTTGAGTATAAGCCCTCCTTTAAAAATACAATAAGTTACTAATAGAAAATGAGAAACTTGAATTTAGCGTCTAAAATAGAACATAGTAGAAAAATTGTTTGTATTGATGGATGTTTCTTTGATATTATTTAGAAAACAAGAAATAATATTGTTCCAAATTTGTTAGCATTTTTAATTCATTCATATAGAATCCTAACTTAAAATACAAAGCAATATACAAATCGATGAAAATTAATTAAACAGTGAAAATTAATCGATGGATATAAATTCTGGAAAAATCAGAATTTTTCCTGAAATATCCTAGAATTATCCTTGAATTGACTAGCCAGATTTTGTCAACATCACGCTGAATGTAATAAGAATAAAATAAGATTTTATTGCAAAATATTAAAAAGAAGCGACTGAGCATAAATAACTAAATTTAATTGTAAATTTCTTTGCAACCCTAAAATGAAACTAATTTCATTAGTTTAAAAAAAGTAAAATAGATGATTATAAAATTATTTTCATAATTTTATTTTTTAAGAAAAGAAATGATGTTTCACGATTCTAGCATAAAAATCTTTTTAAACGTTATACGTAAGATATTTTGAAATTCCATATGTACATAACAATACGACCAAAGACTACTGTTTAATTAAGCATTTGTATTTGAAATAAAACAATGAATAAGTTCTTACAGTGATAATATATTTTGTAGATGAAAATAGTAGAAAAGCGTTTATGTATTTTATATGTCAGTGTATATACTCTTTGAAAAAAAAGTTATGCACAAATCTAGATCATTTTCTTGATAATGGTGATAGATATAGCTTCAATGCGTAGGACTTTCTTCGAAGGCTTTATCGAGAAAAATCGAAATAGTCCTATGACATTTTGCCATATTCGTCGCTGTTTTTGAAATGGCTTTTATTCAAATCTGTGCCTAACTTTTTGTCAAAGAGTGTATATAATATGTACGCGCGCGCGCGCAACGCATACCTATGCAAAATTTTGTTAGTGTTATTTTCGTATTATTATGACTGAAAGTGCTAAAAAATAATCAGAAGGTACCTTTTATTTCATCTTTTATCGACACATATGTCGGTAATAAAAAAAAAGAACTTGATAGAATAGAAAGAAGTGATTCGCGATTCATGAAATTCGTAAATATAATGTAAAGTCGAATATTATATATATATATATATTTATATATATATATATATATATCTAAGCGTATGGCTACATATAAAGTGAATCTTACCGGTGTTTTATTTCAAATTTGTCCGCGCATTGCTCCGATTGGCCGAGGTGAGGGAGTAGTCACCCTTTAGACGGTGCGAACGGTGCGGTGTAAAATGGTGGTGACGCGCGCTCGCAGCGTCGCACAGCGTCAAGCGTCAACCGTCAACAACGTCAACCGCGTTTAGTTAGTGGTTTAGTCGATGCGCGCAGTTTGTACGTGTAACCGGTATTGTACGTTAGTAGTTGGTACGCGGGTAGTCGGGGTACATCAGGGTATACCTGCCTTCGTTCGCTTCTCTCCGCGTAGAAAAGAATCAAGAGCAGAGGAGAAAAGATTGCAAACGCTAAGCTAAGTGGCTCGTGCATCAAAAGAGAATCAAAGAGTGAATATCTATCTTGAGAGTACCGTGGAAGGTGAGCCCGCGAGAGATGAGTACTCCGGTAAAGAAGGTACCCATTCATCTGCAGGTGAGTGCGTTTTAGCCAGTTTTAGCACCTGTAATGCAAACTCCCCGCTACGTGGCTGTTACTTTTACGCCGAAGAAAAGGAACATCGTTATTTTTATCTATGTGCAATGACGACGTGATGAGCGAGGATCACAGTGGCTCGATAAATTGCGATAAATTAGCTCCATTCTAGCGTTGATTCTACTTTTTACACTATCTTCGTTTTCTTTCTCTTCAACGCCTAAATACATATATTTATCTCACTTTTAAGTACACAAATTTTGAGACTTCAAGCAACGTGTGTGAATAAACCTATAAAGATCATTCACGGGTTCAATTTCTACCCTCTGCGCTCGGAAATCTCGTCGTCGCGCTGCTGGGCGTTAACAAGATTTTCTTCTGTTTTCGCGTATCGAAATAAAAATTATTGAGCAACATCCACAGTTAATTTTTCAGAAAATATATTCATCTTGATCAAGAGCGAATCTTTTTTGAATCTATTTTAAATACGTGTCGTGAAAGTCTTCAGCATCGAGAATATCATATATTCTTTGAAGAAGGAAATTTTTGAACAAATACTATTTTTTAAAAAAATATTAAAGAGAGAGAATTGTATCATTGATTTATCAAAGAGTACGTCCGTCGATATTACAAATTAAAATTAAATTAAAACTAACAATCGTTAACTCTCATTCCGTTTTAACTTTTATCTCACTTTCTCAAACAAATTAAAGCCTGCACTTTTCAATTTTACCCACTTTTGCGTAAAACGTTTTCTAATCGTACTAATTTTTCTACTTACACTTAAAAAAATTCAATTTATTCGAAACAGAGCTTGCATGTAATAATTAACTCCTATTTTTTTAGAATTGTTTGCAGCTTACTTTAAAATATCACAAAAATGATTACATTTGTACGTACATACCCAGATAGCCAAGTAGAAAACAGATTTTTTTTAATGTCTGCTACACACTATGCCAAATAAATTAACAACAGAATTAGATGTACGTAATACTGTTGAAAGACTGATAGAAAAACGTAACAGAATTTGCAAACATCAGATAATGTCGGCAGAATCTGCTCAGTTTCTGCCAACAATTTGCCTTCATGTATATCGACAGGCGATTTTAACAGAATACAATCCTAATGCGGACGCAGTTGATGGCAGACTGCCGTCATTTTCTGCTCGAATCTGCTGACAGTCTGCTAGAAGACTGCAGACATTTTGCTATCTGGGTACGTCTGGAATCTTAGTAAAGTATGAAATTTACTGTGGGAATGAGAAATTTGCATTAATATATCTGCTAATTAATAAACAACAACGATATTTGTAGTCGGTAATTCGTAGATTTAAACGGTATATTTTTTGTAATTAATATCCTTTAATAGTTGATATAGCTTGGATTTAAAAAATATATGATACGACTTAATCGTGCTCCCGATCGCATGAGAACTTTTAGCGATACCGTTTATCTTATTGAGGTTATCGTTTGCATATGACATAATATGCATTTAATCGGAGTAACACGGCTGCTAGAAGATTACTCGTTCTATTTTTCAAATTTTATATATGTGCATGCGTGTTTATATCTTGTTAGATAAGTGATAAATTGTTGACTTTACTTGGTTGATTACTGGTACATCACTATCATCATTTATTTTTTACGTGCAACATATCAGACATTTTTTAATCAATGAAAATGTTTATAACGTTTGACGCAAATACGATATAATTATGATGATATGCAATTTAAGCAATAATTTATAGATACATAACATTATGTGCATAAAAATAAATTGCTATCTTTTTTTAACGAATTCTCTCTGATATAAATAAAATTATTTGTATTTATTTATATTTTGAGATTTTTTTCTTTTAAATTAACCAAAAATTTTATTGTTTTTTGGATATTTATCAAATTTCTCGGATAAAGATCAATTAATTGCTATATTTGGAAGAAAATGCATCTCGGTGCGCTTTTCTTTTACGACCTTTGTGACGATTTGGCACCCGACTTTTTATAAATTAATTTTTTTTATAATAAAATGATAGTATTTCGTTTGTAGCTGTTTGTAGTAAACAATAGTTTCGTTTGTAGTTTCATATAATAAAAAATAAAAAATTTTTGAAAAAGTATCGTCACCCGACTTCAAGATAAAAAAAATTATTAATATACCTTGATATTCAGAATCGTTTGTAGTTGTTTGTAGTGACTTTCCGATCGTTTGTAGTTGCATCAAAGTTGTAACACAGTTACAACAAATTAACGATAAATAAATTATGTAACGTTTTACGGTGCAACTACGAACGACCGGAAAATCACTACAAACGATTCTAAATCAAGATATATTAATAATTTTTTTTTATCTTAAAGTCGGATGACGGTAATTTTTAAAAAAATTTTTATTTTTTATTATATGAAACTACAAACGAAACTATTGTTACTCCAAACAAAATACTACAAACGGAATACTATCATTTTGTTATAAAAAAAATTAATTTATAAAAAGTCGGGTGCCAAGTTCACAAAGGTTCTTTTACATCGCGTCATTACTTCAATCGGTATCAATACAAGTATCGCGAGCCTCATATACATCCTATGAGGCGTGAAATTATTCTCTAAGACAGCGAAGAAGTCTGTAGCTAATTCATACTGTTGGTTTTATGGCGACTCGATGATTTTATTACCTTTTATCACTTATACATACGTATGTACTTATATAAATTGCATGAAGAGTCAGAATTTAAAAATATTCAAAAGTATATCGTGTATGAAAATTACGAAGATTTTCTATAAGAAATAGAAAATCTTGACGTCTAAATTTTATTTCACATTAATGATACATAAATGATACATTGAATTTTTTTAATAGTCTACTTCAAAGGATATATTATATGTATACGAGATAGTCATCATAAAAATAAGAAGTGCTCGCTCACGGAAAATAAATAAACGTTAAATAATGTGTACGCTGCAATTTTGTGTACACACAACCATTGTGAGGCACCGATTTAGAAAATGTAGGGCATCATTTGCGGAAGCTATACCTATACTCTACACTATACGCGTTTCTATGATGTGCCAACGTCAATAGAAACGATAAAATAGAAAGAAGCGTCGTCATTAAGTAACGCCTATATCGACGGTCTATTGTTAGGTTGTAGTCTAGAGTTCGAGCTTGAATAGTTATTATGTGACATCGGAATAAATATAAAATGTGACGAACATTCGTAAAAAAAAAAGCGTGACCATTGTAACATCTCAGCTCCAATATGACAAATGAAAGTAGGTAGTCGTCCCGTGGTAAGGTTAGTGTCCTATTGATTCGTAGTCCATTTCTTAAATAAAACAAATCTAAACATAAAGTTAAAGGTAAAAATTAGAATTAAAAAAATAATTTCTAGATCTTTTCGACAACACGAATATACCTTATTACATTTGCATTATCGAAAAGATTTAAAGATTTTTTTTTTGATTAATTCTAATTCGATGATGCTAATGAAATTTAAATTCCAATTTTAGCCTCTTGTCTTTAATTAGTACATACTAGTTACTACCTATTGAAAGTAGAAAGCTCTCTCATCCTCTTTCTCACTGATTCTGCAAACGGAACAATCGTCATACCGTTAGATTCAAGCATGTTATCCCTCAAGCACTAACTGCATTTAATTTAACGTTGTTTATTAGATCAAAAAATCTGCATTGTCTTATTGGAATTTTAGAATTTTCTATGACTATTTTCTTCTAGTTACGGAAAACCTCTATTCATCATATCTCGATGCAATATCGATTGTTTTTCTTCTTCGTTAGGATCGGCAAATAATTACAGATAATGAAGATTTCATTATCTGAAAAAGGTTAAAGGACTTTGAAATTTGTATCGATACGTTCCTCAATTCAATCTATACTGGTGTATATCTAGTGTATAGATTTTGATGGAAAAACTCAAGCAGAAATACTTTTAATGTGCTTAGGATTTGTAATATAGATAATATAATACAGTAGAACATGGAAAATGCACAGAGGGAAAATCATACGGTACTGAAAGGCGGTGAGCGGTCAGAAGTGACGCAGGGTCGGCGCGGCGGCGGCGGCGGCGGCGGCGGCGGCGGTGGCGCTCTGCGAATCAATAGTTCGTCGACTCGACTCGCCGACCTAATGTCGGGAAAATTCTCTGCCGCGCCGGTATGCTCCTTAAAATACGTTTTACCGCATTGATGGTAATGACGGTTTGGTTTCGAATGAAATAGTATATTTAGGCTGCTATTCAATCGCTAATCCGCGAATTGTTTCGGATGACGATTTTTGCGAGAGTAAAAATACGAGAAACAAACCGGAGACATCTCTGGCGCCCGCGTGATTTTTTTCGATAGAAACGCGACGAGAAGAACTTCCTGACAAGACGAAAATGTCGTTGATTAGAAATTAAGCAACACGTTCTCCAATCATTCGACAATTTTATCTTTACGATCTTACGAGCGTGCGATAATATGGGATAAACAAAGGCGTGATTTGCGATGATGTATAAGAGATGACGCGAAAAACACACACTCGCAAAAGATATACAATCGCATGGAAAATATATATATATATAAAATTAACGGAAATTAATCTAATTGTATTATTCATGTAAATGTAAGGCACACGATGAAAGAGATATTGCGGAAATAGCAAAAATAAATATATATTAAATATTAAAGAAATAAAAATTAAACAAATAAAATATCCATTGTGCATTACATCTCTCTCTATTCCTCATTTCTCTAATATTTAATATATGTATATTCCAATATTTCTTTCATTGTGCGCTGGACTTTTACGTTATAATATTTTATTACATGTTTATTTCAACAGAGAGCACGTTTTATTGCCCCTAATCAATAACATAATTTAGCCATTTTAATCATTAAATATACAGGGTGTTTAAAAATTTGTGCCTGCGAAGTACAAGATGTGATACTTTATGCTAAAAGAAACAACTTTTCCCTTTTGCAAAATTGCAAAAATCTAACAAGTAGT